ACAACACTGCCTTGGGGGAAGTCAGAGTGCCTGTGGCTGCCTTGCTGAGCAGACCTCAGCTGGGCAGAAAGAAAATTTTATAGATAAGAATTAATAAACAACCTCAAGACCGAAAAGTGAAGAGTTCAGACTCGTTCTTCAGTTGCGCGGGCCGAAGCAGAGACATCCTGCACATCTCGGGGCAGCAAATATCAACAGCAACCCGAGACCTCGGGACATGGACAGGGGTAGAGCAGGGGTGGCAGACGGCCACGCAGCGGTCGTAGGCCATGGCAGCCAGCAGGCAGCACTCGGTGGTGGCGAAGGCCACGTAGAAATAGAACTGCATGAGGCACTCTGTGTGGGAAATGGCCTTGTCCTCATGCAGGAGAGCCCGGAGCAGCCTGGGGGTGATGCAGGAGGAATAGCAGAGCTCCAGGAAGGACTGGCTACTCAGGAAGAAGTACATGGGGGTGTGGAGCTGGGCAAGCAGGCTGATCAACACCAGCAGCCCCGCATTCCCCAGCAGGGTGATCACATGGAGCACCAGGAGCACCACAAACAGGACAACCTGGACATGGCCCTGCTCAGAGAATCCCAAGAGGACAAATTGAGCACTGGTGCTTCCATTTCCTTTGGCTGCCATCCTAATGCAGGTGCTGAGGGAAAGCCCAGATGGAGAGTCAGGATATTCCTGTTTTCTGCACAATCATATTAAAAATGGCTGTGTTTTTATCAGCAAGCACAGCCTGGAGATGCAGCAACTGCAGAATTTATTGTTTGGTTCAAAATACATTTTAAAGTAGTCAAAGTTCCCTATTGAGTTTGTTTCTAATGGCTTTAGTCTGGTTTAGCCACTGATTGGGTTTCATAAATCACTTTGCACAGTGGAAGGTTTACAACACCTCGTGAAGAAGTTAAGGGAACAATTTCTCATCAGATTCAAAGCATTAACCTCAGCAATTTATCCTGAATTTAGAAATCATTATGAATTTGAAAAAAAACCTGAAAACAACAAAAACCACCCAAAAAAGAACCCCAAACTCCATTGGTTTAGAAGATCCAAAGGAGACAAAGCAATGGTGAGAGATCAGGACATCTTTAAAATTTTCTTTAGAAGAGTTAGAACAAATTAAAATAAACCAAATTTATTCTCTTCCTTCCTGTGAAACTGAAGTTCAAGTTCAAACAGGAGATTTAGTGTATTAAAAAACCCTTTAAATATGGTGATACTTGTGTCACTCCTGTGAGAAGTGTGGAGAAAGAAAAGGGTTTTAAAAGTCTGGAGGCTCCAAAAACATTGTGGTGCCATAATTAACAGGGGGAGTAAGAGGCTGATAATACAGTTCAAATAAATAGAATATTTATAATTTGGGAAATAATCCAGGTAGTGCTGTGTGCAATGATTGATCTTCAGGGCCAGGTTGGACAGGGCTTGGAACAACCTGGGCAAGTGCAAGGTGTCCCTGCCCATGGATCATCACTGGAGGATCCATAACGTCCCTTCCTACCCAAGCATGGATTTCATGATAAATTCCTGGGTTTCACCTCAGAGACCCTGAGCCTAGATGATTATTTGTTGTGAGAACAGGCTCCAGCCTCAATCCTTCTCTTTGCAACAGATCAACTCCCTGCAGCTTTATTTTGGCTAAAACTCACCTGTTTCATCACATCTCAGAGCCCTTTTTGCTTGATCAGATTTTATCTCCCAGACCAAAATTTCCAGGGAGAAATAAACCCATTGTTAGTGTGGGAATAGTTTGCCTTCACAAATTTACCTTCACAAAAAGCATTAAAACTTGACAAAAAAAAATCTGCTGTTTGTAGTCCTCATTCACAGGAACACCAAGGGGTTTGTCACTGCCCAGCCCTGGAGGAGGAAATTTCCCTTGGGAATGGATGACTCTGGAAGCAGCTCCTTAAAGAGGAGATCTGTGCTGGTAAATAAAAACCATTAGTTAAAATAAATAAATTAGTTTCAGGAAGTTAAATGGCAGTTTGACAATTTATTTACCACTATATATATATATAATTAAATATATGAATATTTTACTATATAAATAAAGTTAATATAGAGGTTTAATTTATATGTGCAGTTAGAGATGTAATTACTTAATAAATATAAATATTTTCCTAATATATATATAATTTTGTTTTATAAATTATAAGTAATAATATAATTTTATTTTATATATTATATGTAATTGCATACATTTAAATGTATCTCTTAGAATATAAAAATAATTTATTGGGATCACAGGGAATTAAAAAGAATTGGTGTAAGAAATGGAGATTCAGGGAATGAGACAGCCCAGGGCTGCAATTGCCCTGGGAGAAGTGTTGCAATTGCCAATCAGGATGAAAGGAAAACTCTGCAGGAACTTTCCTGCTACAATTTGTTTTTACATTTTCTGGTGATAATGATGAGCTGAATTTAAGACTTTTAGGTTCAGATTGACCCTTCAGTCAATTTGGCCAGAGTGTGCCTCCTAATTCTGCTGATATGAGGAACATTCATCCAAAACTGGAGTTAGGAATGAAGGTTCAGATGTACTGGAATACATGTTTTGCAATCAGGAGGAACCTTCACAGTTTCCTGGAGTTATTTGTTATTATATCCTTCTGCAAACGCTTGAGAAGGACAATTTTCCCCAACCAGCAAAAAATTGTCTCAAAACCACTTAAAATTTCACCCTTTCTGATTGTTAAGATACTCACAGTCCACAAGCTCCATCGGTCTGGCCAAATCCAGGAAGTTTTCCCTTCCCATCCCCTAACGTGGCTGGAATATTTAAATTTTACCCCATCCCCACAGGACCAATTACCACAGGGTCTCTGAGGCACCTGAACACACCATGAGCCTTCCCCAGAGGCCCTGGGATCCATCCCAGGGTTTCTCCCTGGAGTTTTAGGGATGGGATGCCCACAGCACATCAGGATTGATGCCTGCAGAGCCTGGGTGATGCCATTTGTGAACACAACAAGAAGAAACACCAAAATGAGGATTTTTGCTAAAGGCTTGAATTTGAAAAATTTTTAAATTCTTCCCTAATTCCATATTTCTCTTCTCACCCTCCCAAAGCAGCTTTTCCTTCCGTGTTCCTCCAGCTCTCAGTCAGGCTTCATTGCAGGAAGTCCCTTGATGGCTGCCAATGCTTTCAATGCTTTTCTCCAGCTGCTGGTGGATGTCCTTGCACTCAGAACACTCACTGATGGCTCAGCTCCATCCTGGTGGCCACCAAACCTCCACAGCTGCTCCCCTGTCCCAGTGTCTGGGACAATTACTCCCCATGGGAAATGCTCAGCATTTTCCCTTTTCCAAGCTTACCTGGTTCCCATCTGCCCATTTCTGACCAGGAAACCTCATTTTCAAAAGCCATTTTGCAATGTGTGCTCCAAAATGGGTTCAGGAGGCTCACAGGGAGTAAACTGTGCCAGCCAGAGAATGCTGGGATGGCTGAGGTTGGAAGGGACCTTAAAGCTGATCTCATTCCAATGCCCTGTCCAAGGCAGGGACACAGGATGACCCCTGAGGAATGTGTGAGGAATGTGTGTCCATCAGGAGCAAACATCAGTGCTGGATGTTCCATCTCCTTCCCACACGGTGCCTCCAGCTCCTCTCGTGCATGGTCAGCTGCTGTTCCCACAGAAGCTGGACACAGTCCACCCTCCTTTCCCCAATCCCCACTTGCACCACAACCCAAAACCTTTTGGGTTTGACAGCAGCAGCTCCAGCACAAAGCCACAGCATGCACAGTGACAGTGCCACGGCCACAGACTCAGGGTTTAATTCACTAAGAGCTCACATTCTTGTTTAAGGGTCAGGTGATGGCCACGGGAAGACCAGCTGGACAAAGAAATTAAAACCATGAAATGCTTTCTCAAAATATTATTAAAATATTGAACATTTTTAAAATAGTGAATATTTTTCAAATATGTTTTGTATTGCCAAATAATGGCTGTAATATCTCGGAGCAAAAAGAGAGCTGCTCTGGGGCTTATGTTTTAAATGCCTTAATGTTTTAATCAATTAAAAATTATGGGCGGTTTATGTTTTAAATAAAGCATTTAAAATAATCTTTAGTCCTATTTAAAGAAAAAATGTACAGTCTTGTCTGCACCCAAATTAAGCAATGTTGTGAGGGTGGCAGGGAGGAGCAGAAGGGTGGGAGAACAGCAGGAGATACAGAATGAGGTCCCAGTTCATGGTCCTGATCACAGAGTCACAGAATTGGTTAGGCTGGAAAAACCCTCTGGGATCATCAAGCCCGCCATTCCCACAGCAGTGCCAAGGTCACCACTAATCCACATCCCCCGGTGCCACATCCACACACCTTTTAAACCCCTCCACGGATGGCAGCCTGTTCCAGGGCTGGACAGCCCTTCCCATACAGGAATTTTCCCTTTCCCACCCAAACCTCCCCCAGTGCCACTTGAGGATGTTGTCTCCACATCTGTGGACATGGGAGCTGAGGCCCTTTGGTGCCTGCCATGGGGGCTCAGCACAGCTGAGGAAAGAGGAACAGGAGCACAAACAGCTCAGGGGGATTCAGCCAGGCAGCCTGACTACATAATAACCAGGGAACTGTTGGCAAGATTTGGGAAAAAAGGATTCAGCTGACTGACCCTGAGTGCCTGTGAGTTTTGTGTCATCACTAAATCAGCAAACTACCTTGATTCTGGCTTGATTTAATCCAACTGAGCAGCTTCTCCTCCATCCCAAGTTGGTCTCAGTCTCTGGGGGAGTCTCATCACTCTGAAGTTCACCATGGATCTGGCACAGGGTGAGATAATGCACTGATGTGGAGGGTTTGGGGTTTTTTCATATATGCAATGCTTTAACACCAAATGTGTCACAGAATTCTGGAATGGTTTGGGTTGGAAGGGACCTCAAAGCTCACTCAGTTCCAACCTCCTGCTGTGGGCAGGGGCACCTTCCACTCGACCAGGCTGCTCCAAGCCTCATCCAAACACCAAAACTGGAGTGAAATTGTTATTTTCAGCTGATACTGAATCAGCCAGCACATCACCTAAATCAAAGTGCAGAAGGCCCCAAAAAATGTCTCTCTACGTATTTCACAAAAATCCCAGTGTATCACCCACATCCCCACAACATTAAAATGTCCAAGCTAATTTTATTTTCCTGAGTCTCCTCCAAGCCTCCTTCACCTCCCGGTTCCTCAGGCTGTAGATCCAGGGGTTCAGCATGGGGATGACCACAGTGTAGAGCACAGCAGCCCATTTATCCCCTCCCCTGGAGGTGTCTGCCCTGGGGATTAGGTACATGAAAATCAGTGGCCCATAGAAGGTGCTGAGGGCGGCGAGGTGGGAGGCACAGGTGGAGAGGGCTTTGCGCTTGCCCTCGGCTGAGCTGATGCTCAGAATGCTGGAGATGATGGCCACATAGGACACCAGGACCACCAGCAGGCTGGGAACGCCGAGCAAGGATGAAGAAATCCTCAGGATGAGGAGGCTGAGGGTGGTGTCAGAGGAGGAGAGGGAGATAAGCATGGAAATGTCACAGAAGAACAGATCAACGGTGCTGGAGTGGCAGAAGAACAGGCTGGACATGCCAAAGGTTTGTCCCACGCTGTTGGTCAGCCCCAGGAGGTAGGAGCTGGTCACCAGCCGGGAGCAGCGCTCTGGGGACATCACAAGGGGGTAGAGCAGGGGGTGGCAAATGGCCACAAATCGGTCATAGGCCATTGCAGCCAGCAGGAAACACTCAGTGACCAGAAACAGGCCAAAAGTGAATATCTGAGCCATGCACCCAGCATAGGTGATTCTCTTCTTCCCCAGCAAAACCCCAGCCAGCATCCTGGGGGTGATGGTGGTGGAAGTGCAGAGGTTCACAAAAGCCAGGTTGCTCAGGAAATAGTACATGGGGGAATGGAGCAGGGCACTGGCTCTGATCAAGGTGATCATGCCCAGGTTCCCCAGGATGGTGACAAGGTAGGTGAGCAGGAAGAGCAGGAAGAGGGTGACCTGAGTTGCTGAGTCCTCGGTGACTCCTGTCAAGCTGAGCTCCGTTGCTTGGGTGCAATTGATTCCTGGCATTCCTTCAAAGTGTGTGGTCTGTGTGAACTCCCTGCTGGAGGTTTCCTCAGGCTGGAAAACCCTCTTTGCAGTGTGATCTGTTTGGAGACAATCCTACAAGATCTAAAACAAGAGTTTAGGCACAGATTGATCAGACAGTGCTGGGTGGAAGCCATGGCATGGGTAGAAGCTGTAGGTTACACAGCCCTGAGGAGCTTTACCTTGGTGCTGCCTTCAATCCCCTGTGTGTCTTCAGTCTGGGACTTTGAAATCATCCAGCACAACCTGAAACACAGAGAAACCCAATAAAAGCTGTAAAAGACAGCACAGAATTGGCTATTGTTCCTTGTGTTGGCATCTGCCAACCAACTGCTTTGACTGTCTTTTCCACAGAATCCTGTAACGGTTTGGGTTGGATGGGATCTTGAAGACCATCTCATTGCACCCCCTGCCATGGGCAGGAACACCTTCCACTAGACCAGATTGTTCCAAGCCCCATCCAGCATGGTCTTGAACATTTCCAGAGGAGGGGCACCCAAAACTTCCTGACTATGAAGTCTCCCCTCCCTCCTGATGATTTTCCTAAAAGATTTTCCCAGCTCTTTATTCTGTTCCTGCAGTCTTCAAACAAAAACATGTAACACCCAAAGCTCAGCAATCTCCTCCTGAAAATTTTTCTTTTTTTGGGGGGAAAAAGAATTTAAAATCACCTTTTGGACATGCCTTAAATCAGCAATAGTAAGATCTATAAGTGTTCCTTACAGGAAAGCTGCCAGACCTCACCCAGGAGCCCTTTGTGGTCAGTGAGAGGTACCCAGAGTATTCCAATGGGGTGTCCTCACCCCACACCTGCAGCAGATCACCTGGATTTGGTGCTGAGCCCAGAGTACAGTAAGGAACTGGAGCCCAGGAGCCTCCAGGCAGGAGCTGAGATGAAGGCTGAAGCTGTTTCTTCTTTGCAAGAAAAAACAACAGGAGATGGCTGGCTTGGCATGCGTTGTCCCTACTCATGGTTCTCCAGGATGATCCTCCCCTACATCTCTGCAGTCTCCCTGCTTCCCTCCTGATGCTCTTCAAGGTGGATGTTAAGGTGCTCTGCAGGTGGATTTAAAAATATACCACTGTCAGCAAAGACATTTGTCCACGTAATTTGGGGATTTAGAGGCTTTTGGAGCCCCAGGAGAGTGACAGAGCCCAAGGCAGGTTGTTATTGCTTCCCTGAGCTTCTGAGTTTGGAGGTGATTACACAGAGGAGATTACCTCACCCTGAGTAAGCCACAGGGCTTTGGGGACTCCCCAGAGCAACCACAGTGCAAAACCCCACCTGTTGTGACCAATTTTTGAGCATTCCAAAGATTTTCAGCTCTACAAATACCGTGTTCAGCCTTACCACACCAGTGAGCTGAGGGAAATCTCACTGGTGGGGCACAGTCCCATGGGAGCTGGTGTCCATCAGCAGTTCCAGTCACCAGAGATGATGAACCACCTTTCTACCCACTCCAAATTCCTTAGACCCAAACCACAGCTCACCTGTCCCATCCCTGGAAGTGTTCAAGGTCAGGATGGAGGGATCTGGTCTAGTTGAAGGTGCCCCTTCCTATGGCAGGGGTGTGGAACAAGATGAGCTTTAAGGTCCTTTCCAACTCAAACCATTCCAGCATTCTATGAAGTTGCTTCAAGAGAGGAAGGGTGCAAGAACCCAGGAAAACCACAGAATATCCTGAGTTGGAAGGGATCCACAAGAATCACCAAGTCCAGCTCTCATACCTGCACAAACCCATCCCCCCCAAGTCACACCATGTACCCGAGGGCATTGTTTAAATATTTGTTGAGGTCTGTCAGATTTGGTGCTGTGACCTCTGCTCTGGGGAGTCAGTCCAACCAGCCTCTGGGTGAGTAGCATTTTTCAAACACACCCAGCTTAAACCTTTATCTCTTCCACAACCAATCTTCCCTCCAAAAGATATCTACTGTTAATGGTGAGTGAGTGTCACTACATAAATAATGAAAAATTACATCATCCCATTGTGAGATGGTCCACCCAGAGGGAGGAACCAAACATTCCTGCCTGGATATAATCTAAAATTTAGAATAACAGAGAAAACCTTTTCCCACTAGATTTCCAGAAAAACAGCTTTCTTCTCCACTAAATTCCCAGAAGAAAACCAAGCCCACCTACACTACCACTGGACCTTCAGAAGAAAACTACACCTTTCCACAAGATCACTAGTTCAACAAAACCACATCTATCTCTCCAAGAAGACTGCAAACACCATCTACTCAGACTGCTATCAATACCCTGACCAACAGCGTCACGTTGTATTCTGACTCTGTCAGTGGATTTTTTGTTGTTTATTTGTACTATTGCATTTGTATTTTAATTTTTCCCAGCAAAGAACTGCTATTCCTATTCCCATAACTTTGCCTAAGAAACTCTTAGTTTCAAAATCATAGTAATTATGAGAGAAGTTTACACTTTCCATTTTACAAGAAGCTCCTGCCTTCCTTAACAGACACCTGTCTTTTCAAACCCAGACAAGCTTCCAGTCAGCTAGAACTTCTCCAGATTCCCAAGACTGCTCAAAAAATTGAGAGAGGTTTTTGACATCAGCAGCTCTTTGAGGATTCTTGGATGAATCCCATCAGGCCTGATGGATTTGTAGGGATCCAGCTGGAGCAGCAGTTCCCACACAACTTCAATCCTGTCTGTTACTCGAGGTTCTACCCACAGCCTCTTCAGCACAAGACAAAGATCCCACTCCTGTCCTGGATCCAAACACAGAATGGTGTGGTGGGAGAAGTTTGGAATTACTAGAAATGGATCAGCTTCACAGTTTTCCCCTCTGTTTTTCAACTATTTCTAAATTCTTGGAATTACTCTCAAATATGCCCAGGAAAATTCCTGTGAAAGGATCAATCAGAGGAACAGCCTAAATAGAGAAAACCGCCTCCAGCAGCAACTGGAATGATCCCATTGCTGCTCTCACCTGGTCTCCAGGTGCTCCTGCCAGAGCTCCCAACAGCCACTGCCATTCCCAGGCAGGAGCCATGGAAGACATTCCTGCTGTCCTTGAGGGTGAGGAGGCGCTTTGGGATGTTCTTGGCTGTGCAATCAGACAGGAGAGCGTCAACGATCCCGTGCTCCCTTCCAAGCCAAAGCAGCCCCTGATTCCATGGGATGATCAGCAGCTCTCCCAGTTCCATTACAGAAACATCCTCCCACTAACCCAGGACTCTCCCCCTCCTCTTTTTGCTCCACATCAGGGATGCGTGGCCGAGTGCCACAGGCATGGGATGCCTCAGTACTCCCTGGAACACTTCAGAATACCCAGGATGCCCCAGCATTCCCAGGGATACCCCAGCACTCCCGGGGTGCCCCAGCA